GATAATGCAGCAAAGGAGAGATCAGAGTGGATTCTGAAAGTGGAAAAGCATCCTTGCTGAAAGGGGACTTTGTTCTCTTCCAAATTTGGAGGATGAAGTATACCTCTTAGTAACCAGGGCTGTGGTTCCCACAGATGGTGAGCCATCACCCAGCATCCTCAAAGATGGTCTTTCAAGTTCTATAGTAGTCACATGGTGTAGTGGAAAGAACAAGGACTTAGAAATCAGATGTCTCTCTGATGACCCTGATGACCTCTTATACTCTCTTCCATGAATTCAATGAGCTTCATGTCAAATAGGCATGGACTGAGGGCAGAGGGCCATAAACTCAAAATCTAGAGGCAACAGCAGGAATGTGTGGGATGGCCCACTGGGATGAAATGGAAGATTCTCTTTCATCCAGAGGACACAGCTTATTCAGTGCCCATGCAGAGCTTCCATAAAGGAATGTCAGAATTCAAAGACCATCCATTACCTACTCCCGGAAGATATTGATTTGGCTGTGGAAGTGGGTTCCACATTGTGAAGCACAAACTACCTCAGTCATGGGATATCGGTGTGTCACCAATAACTTAAATGGTCTCCCTTGTTTTACTCAGACCACAAGTCACAATCTCCTCCTTTTTATTTTGTTTTGGTTTTAATATTTTACTATTTTTATTTTATTGTATGGGCGTACTGCCTGCATGTATGTAGGTACATCTGTATCATGCAATGCTCCCAGAGGACAGAAGAGGCCATCAGATCCCCGGGAACTGGAGTTATAGACAGTTGTTAGCTGCCATGTGGGTGCTGGAATTCAAACCCAGGTCTTCCACAAGAACACCTAGTGTTCATAACCACTGAGCCATCACTCCAGTCCATTTTTATGTTTTGAGATAGGGTCTCCCTGTAGCCCCAGCTAGCCTGAAATGTGTAGATGAGGCTGGCCTCAATCTCACAGAGATCAGCCTGCCTCTGCCTCCCAAGTATTGGGATTAAAGGGGTGTGCCACTGGACTGCCTCATTTTTAAAAAGTTATAATAGTTACACTTCACCATACTAGAAAGCTCTTGCTACAATTTGGATATGGTCTGAGCCCATCCTCCAAAAGCTTATGTACTAGAGGCTTCATCCCCTGTGCGGTATGGTGAGGTGGTGGGACCTTAAAGAAATGGGACTTGGTGGAAAGTGGGTCAGAAGAGGCATTGCCATCAGAAGGGATTCATGCTGGTTTTGAAAAATGATTTTGTTCTCACAAGAGTTATTAAAAACAGAGCAAGTATGGCCCCTGAATCCCTGTGACTTCATGTGTCACGGGAGCTCTCCTCCTTCTCCATGTCCTCCCAAAATGATGTACTTATATAAGGCATATAAGGCAAACATATAAGGCAACTAATCTTAGACTTTGAACTCCAAAACTTTGAGCTAAACAAATCTCTTTTTCTCTACCATGTAGCATCGGCCATTGTGTTACAGTGATAGAAAATGACTAACAGATCTCTGTCACACAATTTGAAAGAACTTTCAAATTGTGTGTGTACTCAGAACTTTGTGCTTGGCCCATTTTCTCATCCTGCTGCTGCCTTGTGACAGCATGTGAGGTCTACAGATCACCACCCCTTTCCCAGGGGTCCCTTCTAAGTCACCTGACCTCATCACCTCAAACCTGTAACTGTTGCTGTTTTGCCAGAGCTCCTCCACATGGCTTCAATATGGGATCTCAGCAGTGTCATTAAGATATCAAAGCCTAAGTGTCTGAGACTTCCCCACTGGAAATGTGGCTTCTAGCAGAAAGACCACACTGAGTTTCTTCAAGAACCTTATGCCTTTTACCCTCGTGTGTATTCAGCTACTTTACGAAATAATGCCAACTTGGAGCTGAAGGAACACTCTGCAACCAAAGCCTTGACTGAGGCTCAAATCTATTTTCTGTGGACTATTTATCTGGGGAGAGAAGAGCTCACATGCGGCTTTAGGTTGGCCAAGGAGAGGTGGCTTTGCCCAGGTTTGCAGCTGAAAAGCACAAAATCTATGGATCTTTAATCATTTTCCCCAAATCTGCCCAGAAGTAGCAGTGACTTCGCTGGGATTCAGGACCCACAGCCTTGCTCCTGGCCAGCTGGGCTCACGGACCACTAGACCACACAGTCTGTGTGTAACGTGTGCTCAGCAAACCTCGAGCTCCAGAACCGAAGAAACAGATTTTCCAAAAACAGAGCTCTCTTTGTGAACAATTCAGCAAAAAATTCTCTTTCCAGCTGTGAGTTGGGATTCATGTTGCAAATGTTGGTGTTAATTAAAAACATCCACCTTCTACAGTTTCAACAACAAGGAAAAAGCACCACACAGAATGCATTCCTAAGCATTCCTCTCCCAAACACTTAGAAGTGTGGATTCTATTTATGACATGGGTTTCCAAGGGTTCCAACAGATATTATCATTCTCAATTTTCAGCCTTAACCAAAGAGTTGGGGGCCAAGGGTGTGGTTTTGTGGGGCCCAAATTGCCACAAAGCAAAACTACTGTCAGAAGAGGAAACCAGAACGTTGTTGCCTATATTAACATCAGGAACTGTACCTAGCTGAACTCAAATGTCTACCTGTTGAGTCATTAAAAAGTTTCTTCACAAGGTTCTTAGTCCTTCAGACACAAACAAATGAAATATCACAAAGCCAGGGGGCATTCTACAAAGGGCAACACAACACAACTTATGATCGAGATATTAGGATTATGTTCCTATATCTATATCCTTTATTAGAAGGAAATCTTTATCTAAAAGGGTCACGAGCTGTAGGAGCTGAAGATTTGAACTGTATTTCTTCTTGTGCTTATCTCTGGTTGGTTAATTTCTCCATAATACAGACAGGAAAGAATCAAGCCAGAGCCACCTCATTATGAATGAATTTCTTTGTTTTTTAATTTCACACAGTTTAAAATACAATATGAAATCAAGCTACAGTATATAAAAAATTTTCCAGCAAAATGATGTGCCAGCATCAGCTACTAAAATAAACAAACAAAAAACTCCCCATAAGAAAAATTTTTTTGCATTTGTTTTTTAAAAAAAAACATATAAGACACTTACATCGCTACATCTCTAAGCTACCTCAGTTCCAACAGTTTACTTAACATTTACATTGTATTAGGTATTGTAAGTAATTTGGAGATGATTTAAAGTATATAGGTTATATACAAATACTATACTATTATGTATAAGGGAAATGCATGTTGATAGAGTTTGGTAGCTCTGGGAAGTCCTGGAAACAATCCTCCATGGATATTGAGGATATATTTCATATATGTATATGTATACATATATTTATGGTTCCTCGAAACTTCTTTGGAATGTATGCAAGAGTTCAACAAATTTATATAGACCCCAACAGAGAAAGCAGCATGCACAGCATGGTTAGAAGAGAGAAGGTGTATTTTCACCATGAAGGTTAGGCAGGTTAATGCTCTAAAACCCAGAGTGCTGGTCTCCAAAGTGAGGAAGAGCGCATCTGATCTTTGAATGCTACCACAATCCCCTTGGCCACAAAATCAGGCCTCTATGTAGGGAAGTCCCCCCCTAAGCCCCAAAGCCACACAGGTTGAGGCATCTCTGGGAAATAAGGTTGTCACCCAGCTAGACCAGATTTGCTCATCCTTCCTCTGAAGTGAACATGTTTTTAAAAAGCATCAATGCAACAATGCTGCTACATTTCCAGTGTATAAACCACCCACCACTCTTCCTGGGATGGTCTCTGGCCTTTGGACAAAAGGGGAAAAGCATCTGGCCAGATGGACAACAAAGCTGTCTGACTAATACACTATGTACAAATCCTGAAAATGGTGGACCTAGGGAAAAAGGGCATCTTAGCAAGCAAGCGGGCCTAGGAGTGCAAAGAGGTACTTTCTTACGTCTTATCTGCTATAGGGACTGCAGGTGTTAGACTCACAGAAGGGGAGTTTTCAGCATGACTTGAATAGGAAAGGATGATGATTTGAGAAAGTGATTTTGCGCTTGGTTTTGAACAGCAAGCGATGACCATATGCCGGTCTTGTTTCTATTCTCACCCGTTAGAGAAAAGTAGAAAACTTGGTATTAATTCAGCTGCAGTTTATACACACACACACACACACACACACACACACACACACACACAACAGGCCCCTGGGCTGTATTTATGCCTTTTGGGTTATGATAGGCACATTCTTTTTTGTATTTGTGGCTTGTGGGCTCAGTTCAGTGGCATTTCCAAGTGATTTCACCATGAGTATATCTTTAAAAATGTATTTTCTTCCTGTCCCCCCCAAAAGTGAATCCTGCAGAATTCTTTCCTGTAGATTTGGATTGCCTCTAGTCATGAGTACAGACAGGGAAATTGATAATAGTCATCTGTGGAAGCAGCTTGTTTGTGGTGGGAGGAAAATCAAGGACATATTATTGTTAATGCATTTTCACGTACTTTACTGCACACCTGTAATGCCTAGTTTGGTGGTTTAGAGAATATGGAGTGTTTCTGGGCTTTCTTATAAGGCAGAGGCTCCATACAAGGTTGCTGATGCTCTTTGCCAGTGCCCAAAAAGATCACATATATAAGAGAAAACAACATAGTCCAAATGGTCCCACCTAACACTCCCTGAGCAGCTCCTAAAATATTTTGAGAGCTTCATTAAGGCACCTGCATCTGTAAGGTCAAAATACACAACTGGGGTGTTCTGTCTTTGCTTTCAGTGTGGCAGCTCCAATTGATCAGAATGGAAACCTCATTAATCACAAAGTTATATTCTTAGCAATTCAGGGTTGGCAAGGGAATCTAGGAGTCAGCCATCAATTCTCATGAAGATACGATGCCAAGTAGTTACTACCTCCAGTTTCTTAACTAAATCCCCCAAGGGGCAGCCCTGAGATGCCCTTCTCAACTGCCTCTTTTCTCTCGTGGAAGTCCACTGCCTTTGTTTTAATTGGACATGTATACAGTGGGAAGGATTCAAAGGATATTAGGCATATTTCCTTGCTTCATTTTTGCCCCAATGCTTTGTGATCAGATCTCCCCTCACAACCAGCAGAAAGATAACTGCCTCATAGACTCTTGGTATTTAAACTTTGGGGCAACTAAGAATATATTCAGATCTCATGGACCACCCTGTTTTCCTCATCCAAGCACCTTCCCTGTGTCCTCTTCAAGTCATTCTTCTCATCTGACGTTAAGCTTCACTCACCCTCTGCCAAGATAACAGCTTAATTAGGAGGCCCCGCGTTGCCTCACCACTTCCTCTGCGTGCAGCCTCACCTGACATCCTACCTGACCAATTCTGCAAAGGAAAGCTTTGCACCTCTTCTCAAAGGAGGCCAAGGCTCATTTTACTGAACTCCTCCCTTAAGGATCAATGGCTTCTAAACCCCAGCAAGTAACTCTACACTTTGATTCCTTTCATGATGTCTGAAGTTACACTATCACTTGCCTATCAGAAAGTGTCACATTCCTCTCTGCTGAATAATGGGGGTGGGATTCTGGGAAAACTAGATATAAGGGAGAAATTGTAGAGTGTTAGTTTGGAATGACATGCATTTGGGATTCACTTCTTAAGACCTAAAGGGTAATGCCCAGGTATATAGCTTTTATTCCAAGTCATGTATGTTACAGGTAGAGAATTAACCAAGAACCAGGTTAATCTTTCTTCTTCAGTTTCCTTTCCAAAGCTTTAACAGTGTTTCTATGTTGACGATCATCCCAAATCAGGGCTGCAAAATACATTCAGTGCAAAGACTTCATGTCCCTTAGCTAACATTAAGTCCAAACTCCCACAAACGTCTAATGACAAGAAAAGGGATGTGATAATTTTTTACAAACTGCAGATGGAATTCACATGCGCAGTTCCTCTGCACCCACATCAGCATTCCTATTTATTTCCTTTAGATCTAAGTCACGTGAATTTGGATCCCTGATCTCAGTAACGGAGCTCTGCTTTTCCAATGGGGTCTATATAAACAGTTTTCTTTCACTGTGACGGAATCCTCGGCCAGCAAATAGGAACAAACTCGCATCATACTGCAATACTGAGACCATCTTAGAGCTTAAGACGATTTTTTTAAGAAAAAAAATACTGGCACAAAATTTAATAAAATAAACTTTAACACAAAAAACAGTTTTGGACCCTCCCCACTGAAGTCCATCTTTGTTTCAAAAAGTAGAAAGGTAAATAATTGTTTTTAGTGCATCCCCCAGAAAAAAAAAAAATGCTCTTATCCCACCCTACAAATGAATTGTCTTCCATCAATCTTGTAACTCTTGATGTGATAATTTCTCCCACTAATGGGTCCATAATTCAAGATGGATTTTTTCTTGGATTTTTTTAATATGTCTGGAAATATTAGTCTCTTCCTCCCATCAGCCAGATCCACTTGCCCCACCCACCCCAAAGGTCCCGGCTTGCTCTTTCCAACCTTGTCAATGGTTACAGCTGCAGCTCCCTTAGCTCCCACCCCTGAATGTGAAAAATGAGTTCTGGAAAATAAAACAGAATAACAAAAATTAAGAGTCCAACCAACAAGGTTGTTCTTTGAAAGGAATCAGCAGGGTTCCCCCAGCCCCTTCCGTGTCCATCACTCGTCGGCATCTGGCTTCACATCCAGCATGGCGTGCAGCTCCTCGGGGGTGTATCCCAGCAGGCTCTGCAGGTCACAGACAAAGCGGTACACGTAGCGCTTCCCCGCCGTCTTGTGGATGATGTTTTTGTCATAATAGTAGCGAAGGCCACGGCTCAGTTTCTCATAATTCATCTTAGGTTTGTTTTTCCTCTTTCCCCATCTCCTGGCCACCTGCAATAAAATAAAATTTAAAAGAAGTGGGTAAAAATCTGTAGCCAATGCAAAATACATGTTGATACATCTCTATATCGCCATCATGACCCATGCTATTCAAAAATGATGCTCAGAAACTGGCATGCATATTTTTCTGAGCTGTTTCCTCTCAATTTTCCTTTCTTTTTGTAAAATATTTTTGATTATACATAGTAGCCATATATGGATGACCGCACATGCAGAAGCCATGGAAATTAATAGAACATTTCTAAAAAATGTGCACATTATAGAGCCATATGTCAATATACATGTACATTGTATAGTGATCAGATCAGGCTAGCTGGCATGTTTTCAACCTCAGACATTCATCATCACTTTCTGGGGACCATTCAAAATCATCTAGCTATTCTGAAATATTTAATTACTGTTCCACAGTCACCCTAAGGTGCTACAGAAGTTCTGATACTCTGTTCCTCTTAACTGCACCCCTGGGCTCATTAACCGGTGTCTCTCCATTCTCCATCGCCTTACCCACCCCTTCCCACACTCCAGTTTCCACATATAAGTGAGAACAGGCACTGTCTTTATGAGCCTACTTTATTCCTTTCAATATAATGTTCTCCAGTTCCATCCATGTTGCTGCAATAGAAAGAATTTCCGAGTTCTAGGTTTCAAGGCTTGGGTTAATGGCCTCAACTTAAGTATTTAAACCGGTAAAAAGGACTCTGCACTCCTGTAGAATAGGGTTAAAATACTTGATTTGGAGGCAAAAAGAAGAGCCACACTACAGACACTTCATCCCACATCACAAGCAGGTGTCCTGGTTTTCAAAGCATGAAACCTAACAGGAAGGCATGGAGGGGAGCTGCCAGCCCTGCCTTTTATCAGCAGGAAGCTTCCTTTCTGTACCAGAGCGCAAACATTCTCTCATGTCTGTCCCAACAGAGATCTCCTCTCTGGTACTCATTGATTTTTGGCATCAGAATCGGGCATGGCAAAGATCAAGCACTTAACAAGCACTCATGGGAAGAAAGGACGAAAGAATAAACAAATTGCACCAATCTTCCAAGGCCTCTCAAAGCATCTGACCCTTTTCACATTCACAGAGCCAGGGGCAATAACAAGGGTAAGTCAGAGAGGACACCTTTACCAAAGAAAGGTCTACTATGTGCCAAGCACTGTATGTGCATATCAGTTCATCCCAGAAAACAAGTGGGCAGTGCAGATATTTTCTGTTCTTCAGATGATGAAACTAAGGCTCAAGCAGGCTGCATAACTTGCCCCAGGTCTCACAAGTGGCAAAGCTGAGATTGTGATCCAGGCCCACGGAAGACCTTCCCAAGGTTTTCTCTCCCCACACCTCTTTTCTTACCTCATCTGGGTCAGAAAGCTTGAATTCCCAGCCATCTCCTGTCCAGCTGATAAAAGACTGACAGGACTTATCAGTGAGTAATTCCAGAAGAAACTGCCACAGCTGGATGGGCCCACTGCCTGGAAGCACAAGGCACAGTGAAACATTAAGAACACTACTCAGGGCTCTCAACAGCCAGTCCCACTACGCAGAACCCTTCATCCCTCCTCAGTCTATCTAGCCAGGTTAAAATGAAGGCAAGTGCCAGAGAAAGTGCTCTGAGCTCAGAGAAAGTAGATATCGTCCTTCCAAAAAGCACTTAGGATAACACATCATTTGCCTACTTTGACTAATGGCAGGTTTACTCTGCTTTAATTGCTAGCAAATCTTGGAAAGAAAATATGTCGTCTATCCTCTAAGATGGTCTAAGGAAGTATTTGTTTGTTTGTTTTGAAACAGGGTCTCCCTCTAGCCCCAGCTGACCTAGAATGCACTATTGTAGACAAGATGGGCCTTGAACACACAGGAGACCAGCCTGCCTCTGCCTCCTGAGTGCTGGGGTTAAAGGTGTGTACCACCACACCTGGCAGGAAGTATCATCTAATGTGCGTTCAATCACTAAGTTGTCACATTGGCTTCAGCAGAAAGGTATCCACTAAGGAAACCCTCCTTTAGGTCCAAGCAGAAGTCAAAGTTTGGAAGTACTCTCTGCAGCAGGGACTTCTGGTCCCTGACTGTGATCAGGAAGGATCTCTACACTTAGATCCTCTAATGAGGAATAGGCATTGGATGCCCTTCAGTTGTGATATTTTCTCTACCATGACTCCACCCTCCCTGGCTACTTGAAGCAAGCACTAAGAAAGGAATGTATAGTCACTATCTGAGGAATTAACTTGCTGCCCAAAGAATCCTCAGAGGTCGGATGAGGACTGTGTCAGGTTCAGTGTTTTCTCTGTCTCTCTGTCTCTGTAGTGTTTTCTCTGTCTCTCTGTCTCTGTCTCTGTCTCTGTCTCTCTCTGTCTCTCTCTCTCTCTCTCTCTCTCTCTCTCTCTCTCTCCCTCCCTCCCTCCCTCCCTCCCTCTCTCTTCTCTTAGCCACCAATAATGCTAAAATCCTAGCTCTATAAAGTCTGGTATGCCCTATGCCCTAACAGTCATTCCTTATTCAAAAGGATTTATTATGCATGTCTTCCTTTTAGGGTAGCTTTCTATCCTGAAGTGACAAGAAATAAACCCTATTTAATTTATGGACATGGCTGGAAAGACCAATATGGGTTCACAGTATTTCTTATGGCTTATCTAAACTGCGCCTTCCAGCATCATTACTGGGGCAATCTACACAAGACAGTCAACCCATATAGGTACACGAAGCCTTGGATGCCCTATCTCATGACTTTTTAAATGTTCTAACCCTTAAACGTGAAAATTTTAAATATGTGTCTATGTGCCTGCTCCAAAGTAAACTTTGATTCTATAGGAATCACAAAGAAATGTCCTTTATGCTCTGTAAGGGTCATCTCTTACAACATCTTACACTTCCTCACAGTATGTTCATACACACTTCTAGAGTCCACTCTCTACCTCTTGGCTGTGTGCTGGACAGGTGCAGTCTTATTGCTTCTAAGCTACTGGTTCTCAAAAATGTAAGGAGACCTTGCTCCAAGTTCAGACAAGTACCAGGGAAGCCTCTCCCAACACAGGAGAAAATGTCCAGGCCATGCAGGCTACCCAGCCAAGGAGCCTAATCTCCTTCCCTGGCATATGTGGAAAATAAAATAGCTCTTCTTCACCATACTGATAATGTACCTTTGGGTCCTTAAAATCATCTTGGCAAGATAGACAGTCAAGAAGAAAAGCATTCAACAAAAGCCTTCCAAGTAAAAGAATGTCTGAAGAAACAGCTCAGAGGGTTGTGAAGACTTCACTTCCACTGTGATCTACCTGTGGCTAAAAATCTACTTCATACACAGCTCAAATACATGTTCAGGTTTCTTGGGAGTTGAGTAAGGTCAGCAGCTACCTCTCGGTGTCTGGGATCACCAATTCTACGCATGACATATGACAGATCCACTGGAAAGTTATTCTAATTGACCTAAGAGCTAAGAAAGCAAATTGCTCTTAAGAAATGCACCTGCCACTGACCCAGTGACAGTGAAGATTCTCCTGGTGACCCTCACAGGGACTGTGAGCAAACATCAGGATCCCCAAAGGCAGACATACAGAAAAGCCACCTGTCACAAAGTTCTGTGACCACTCATGTGCCACTACTCCAGACCTTAGATATGAGGGAACCCCTAACAGAGAAAGACTAACAGGAGCCCCGATTCACTGAGACTTTCTCTACTCCAGACACAGGAATGCTTAGGATTCCCCACAGTCACCCTCGTGATAGACACTGCTATTATTCCACTGCTTTCTACTACTTTGCAGTAGAAAAATACTGATGTATTGACCTGGCGATTTAAGTTGGGTAAGACCATTCAGATGAGAAGTGGAAGAGCTGGGATGGGAACCCCAAATTCTTCAACACTACACTGCCCAAACCAAAGCCAGACACCTAAACTGCCTGTGGTTGCAATGACCCAAGAGCTAAAAGAATCTGGCTTTATGAAGCTATCATCTCTTCCCTGGCTCTCACAGGGGTCACAGGACGCTAGAGAGCCACACTGCCTCCTAACTGGTTCTTTCACCTCAACACTGCCTGCTCATTCAGGTTCCCTGCAGTGCCTAAGTTATTCACACCGCAATTTCATCCTCACATTATTTACTAAAAAACCTTTATAACACTGTCTTAAAATCCCCCGAACCAGAGAGGCTGATGTATTAAGCTGAGGAAAGGGATGAAAGGATCAAGAAATGCAGGCAGGTCCTAGTCATTGGCACAGTTCCTGTCCTTGAGGCTGGGGCACAGAGGGGACTTCAGCCTATATCATCAGCACCAGCTCAGCGGACAGAAGCTCAAACGGAACCAAGCACGTCTATTGTCCTGCAGTGTCACTTGAACAACAATGCCAAAGCCTCCTGCTCCAGCCTTTCCATGTCTCTCTGCCCTCTGATGTCTGAATATGGCTGGAAGAGGTGAGTCCTTGCCTGAAGCTTTTATTCCTCACTGTGGGTTTTCCTATGTTCAGAGGGAACATAAAAATGTTCAGTCTGGGTACTGGGAACCCAAGTCCTAGGGGATATATTTTCTTTTGATTCTGTCCACACCAAAGGAAAAAAGACCATAAACAAAAAGGCAACTGCCTAAGGAAAGCAGAATCTGAGTAGGAAAAAGTCTCTGTTTAGTTTAATAAGACAGTCAACAAAGTGGCTGTGCCAGCTCTAGCTGCCTTCCAGGGATTCTCACAAAAAACTCACGTAAGCTCACCGGGACTGACAGGCCTTCTCGGTGTTCTTGCTCTTCCAACAGCCCACACTAAGTTGGGTACGATGGCATGTAATTGTGGGCAATTCCAGCACTCAGGAGGAAGGTAGAAGTGAGAGATCAAGGCCAGCCTGGTCTACACAGTGAGATACCTCCCCCCAAAGAGGAGAAAGAGCCTATACTGTAACTCCCAACAAGAGAACTCCATGAACTCCGGAGTCTTCTCCACTGGTGCCTTGTTACTGACTTGTTACACACTGCCCTTCTGTTGTGGAGAGCAAGGGAACAGGAAGGACATGGGATTGTTCTCTCAGCCACAAATGCTGAGCAACAGCAAGAACTGTGGCTTCGGGGTGAGCTTATTCCTAGATAGTGTCACACAAGAGCGTGTTCCTACAACAACACATCAGTCTCTATTTAGTTCTGGAGGGGAAATCAGGACCACATGGAGGCACAAACATGAAGGCAGCTCTGAGGTCGCAGTGCTCCCTGGCTTTGTACCTCTACCAGCCACGTCCAAAATCCAAGCTCTAAATGTGAAGCAATGAATAAACCTGTAGTCAAGTCCCTATCACAAGTCTCCTGAGGACATTTCTAGACTGCTTAGCATAGATCTGTTCATACTCACAGGGCTCTACTCTCTCTATCCCTTCCTTTGCTCCAACATGTTCTGAACTCTGTGAAGCCTCCTCAATTCTCTTGCACTTCCTCCTCACCCCTGGCCTGATCCTATCCACCTACCCAAATGGATTGTGGTCCCGGTGAACCTCTGTCCCCTGGAGCAGAGACTGGTACTAAGAATAGCGCCAGTCATGGGAAAGGGGAGCTCACATGTTAAATGTGACTCACAATGGCGTCCCTGTCTGGGGCCCCCAGGCAGTCAACAGCACCCTTCACCATGCTGCCCAGCGGTGTCACACATCAGGAATCCAATAGCATCATTGGGAAACTATGCTGCTCCAGTGGAGCTCTGAGCCACAACAACAGAGGGGTCCCTGTTAGAAGGAGGTCTCCTTCCAAGGCGGGGAATGAGAGAGTACACCACACACACCCACAGGCCCCGCTGCCATCTCACTCCCATCTTCTGAATCCACACACCCCCTGCTCTGCCCTCTCCCCAGCCTCCTTGGCTGCAGCTGGGGAATTTCCTCTGACTGCTTTTCCTTTTCAGCTTTGAGATGAGAGGAAAATTCTTACACAATGCTGGCAGTCCTAATTTGAAGACCATGATCTAGACTTGGAAGAAGCACAGGGTGGGTGCATGGGGGGGGGCCTGGGGCCAGTGGACAAAGAACACCAAGCACGCTGCCCTCCAGGGGACCTTGGAGACACCACAAATCAGAGGCAGCATCACATAAATTCCTGCTTATTCTGGTCATATTTTAAGTCCTTTGTCGTTATCTAGAAATTGCAGGGCCTACCGCCTGTGTCTGAGGACTGGTTATTAAGTCTCCTGGTTTTCTGGTCCCTTACTCTTAGGCTAAGAATTGAAATGAGCTAGGAATAAATCTTAGTAAAGCTTTTGCTTGTTTGTATGTGTGCTGATTTAGTTGTTGTTTTTGTGTACATGTAGCTTATTCGGTTGGGGGGGTCTTTTTTTCTTTTCTGTTATTGTTTATGGAACTGGGGATTGAGCCTTGGACCTCGCACACGCTGGGAAAATTTTCTACTACTGTGTCATACATACAACCATTTATTTATTTATGTATTTAGGAACATGTGTATGTATGTGTATATATGTATTTTGAGACATGGCTTCACTATGTTATCCAGG